TATTAAACATACAACATTTAAATAAATATTTAGATATTTTATGCATCCTATAAAATCAATCTTATTGTAATGTCAGATTACATTTCATTAAGCACGTCAAAATCAAATAAATTCCTTTAAGTTTATACACGATCAAAGTTCTTTTATTTATAGAGGTGGTTTCATTTGCAAACCTACTTATTTACACAAACTTTATAAGCCATTTGAGACGATCACTATAACAAAATTGATTTTATAGGACATCTAAGACTTATATCCATCCTAAAAAGATATTTATAGGACTTAACCTTGTAAAACCAAACCAAAAAGTAGGTGGTCGTCATGGGATTAGTCGGCTCGTATAGCGGGTTGAATATCCAGGTTAATAAAAAAACATCTTATTTAACTATTTGAAAAAGTGTTATGTGAATACTCATGTCCTATAAAAAGATGGGTTTATAAAATAACTAATAAGATACTTTATTTTAGAACGATCTAAAAGAACTTGTTAAACGTTTAAAAGTGTCTTACAAACACTACAACGAACAAGGTTTTTAGAGAAGGATTAATTTGGAAGCGTATCTAAAGGTGATTTTTAGAGAAGCAAGACTACATGACAAAAGTGATAAGAGTAATTGAATGTAAGATGATTTTTAAAAGAAGGATTTGAAATCAAATTATCCGTTACAGAAACTATCTCTAAAGCTTTAAGAGACGCTTTTTATGAAAATCGAGTCAGAAGCTTTACCGATGTTTTCAAAACGTCTCTAAGAAATAAATGATTTTTATTTTTATTTTTAAATTAATAAAATTTTCAATTACACTTTTATAACTTTTTAAAGCGTACCCTTCTTTTAATAAATAAAAATTATATAATAAATTATTACAAGAAATCAACGGAGTGTTATGCGATTTCATGATTTCTCTTCGAATTCAGGTTCTACAATTCCACAATTTCTTTTCGATAATTTCACGATTTCTATCCAAATTAGGGTTCCACAGTTCCACGATTTCTCTTTCATTTCGATCTTCAATTTTGATTCCAGCTGGTGGTCTTTGTTGTCGAACTCGAGTTCAATTCGTCTTCATATCTTCGAGTTAGGGCTTAAACAATAACATCCCTTAGCAATGGTGAGGTTATTTGATTCGCATTTTCCTACATTTTGATTTCGATTTGTTTGGTTGATCATTGGTCCAATCATATTTTGGAACCTCCATATGATTTGTATTATAGATAAGGAAAAATGATTTCCTCTTTTGATTAAACTATATACAATCATTTAAATATACAACAGATGGGCCACGGGCCAAACGCTATACAGGCTAATAAATTAAGCCTAATAACAATTCATTATAAAGATACAATGTGATCTGCTAACATCCCCCGCAGTTGGAACGTCCGAATTGCAAACGTTCAAACTGGATTTGAAATCCGAAAATAGAGAATGAGATAGCCCCTTCATGAAGATGTCTGCGTACTGAGAGCTCGAGAGGACATGGAGGACCCGGACATGACCAATGGCAACTTTGTCACGAACAAAGTGAATATCAATCTCTATATGCTTTGTGTGTTGGTGTTGAACCGGATTGGACGACATGTATACCGCACTAACATTATCACAGTAGACGATTATGGCTTTCGTGGGCGGTCGGTGGAGCTCGCGAAGTAAGTTACGAATCCAACTTGTTTCAGCGACGGTGTTCGCGACTCCACGATATTCGGCTTCAGCACTAGAACGGGAGATAACACCTTGACGTTTGGATGACTAAGACACAAGATTATCTCCCAAGCAAATGCAATATCTGGACGTGGATCGTCGAGATGTCGGACATCCCCCCTAATCTGCATCGAGTAAGCAGTAAGTTCGGATGAGGGTGATAAATGAATCTGAAGGCCATGGTTTAGAGTGCCTCGAATGTATCGAAGTATGCGTTTGAAAGCATGAAAATGTGGCTCTCGAGGATCATGCATATAGAGGCAGATTTGCTGAACGGCGAACGCTATATCCGGGCGTGTGAAGGTGAGATACTGAAGAGCTCCGGCAAGACTGCAGTACAGGGTGGGGTCACGAACGGGTGGGCCATCAACGTTAAGCTTATGACCCATTTCAGTTGGTGTGCGAGCCGGATTACAGTTAACCATGTTTGTTCGTTCAAGGATTTGAGAGGCATACTGATGTTGAGATAGAAATAGAATTGTAGATGATCGCAAAGCAGAAATTCCCAAAAAAAAATTGAGTGCCCCGAGATCCGTCATAGCGAACTCACGACCAAGTAGGGTGTGATCTGGTGAAGAAACTCTGTGGATGAGGCCGTCAAAATGATATCGTCAACATATAGAAGAAGATACACAGTGGCCTGAGAAGAGTGGTATATAAACCGTGGCGTATCAGTGTGACTATGCTGAAACCCGAGCCGAAGGGCATACTGAGCAAACCGATGGTACCACGCATGTGGGGCCTGTTTAAGGCCATACAGAGAGCGTTGAAGATGGAACAGGTGATCCGGGAAGTGTGGATCTCAAAAGCCCGGTGGCTGATGCATGTATACAGTCTCCTGAAGGTGACCGTGAAGAAACGCATTCTTCACATCTAGCTGATGGATCGGCCAATGCTGAGAGACCGCAATACTGAGGACAGTATGAATGGTGGCCGGTTTTACAACCGGACTAAATGTTTCATCACAGTCTATCTGTTGATTCTCTCTCTCAGTGATTTGATGATAATCCTTTTTCACTTATACGTTGTATTTATGTTTCTGTCTTTTCAGTTCCAGCKACCTTCACTGAGTATGTTCAGTGATCGTTGAAGAACTTGCATTGTAAATCTATCAGAGACAACAATACTTCAAGAAGACAACATTCACTCCAAAGAACCTTCACCAAAAATCGAAGACTGACACTGAAGATTAGAGACTGGCGAGTACGTGATCTGAAGCAGTACTCAGTTATTACAAGCCCGTCTATATATGTGTGAAGACTGCTCAAGCTTCAGCGAATGATGAAGAGACCTTCAGTTCATTCCAGCATTCAGCGATCAAAGGAAGTTTGCTTAGCATGATTGTTGTCTTGTCCTTATACACACAAAGGATAAAACCCATACCCTTATGAAAGTTGGTACAGTACGGAGCCGACTAGTCGACTCTATTATCCACCAACTTTAGGTAAGGATGTTTGCTCATGAATAGTGTTTTTATACTATTCACTGTAGCAAAGGACAAGCCTTCCTCTTAAGGCTTGACACGCACTCTAACATTACCATATTGCATTAAATGTTCATTTAATGCACTGGGTATAAATAAAAGTGTTTCTTCTCCAAAGTGATCTAATAAAATAACATAGTAACGCAATCCACTAATGCTAGAGATGGGTGACGTCCAAACATCAGAGTGAATTATTTCAAAAGCATGAGAAACAACGGAATTAGAAACGAAAAATGGAAGCTTAACATGTTTTCCAAGTTGACAAGAATTGCAAATAACACTAGTTTTATCACTATAACAAGAAATAAAAAATTTGGAAATTAATGACTTCAAGACTTGATCATTGGGGTGACCGAGCCGTTGATGCCATGTGGAGTGAGTTGTCGAGAGAAGCACTTGAGGGTTGGAGGGGTTGACCGGGTAGAGGGTACTGTCGCTATCACATCGGATTAAAGGGCGCCGGGTCTTGTAGTCCTTAATAGTAAAACCAAAACTGTCAAACTCAATAGAAGTTTTATTTTGATGAGTAAATTGACGGACATATATGAGATTTTTGATAATATTGGGTGATATGAGGATATGTCTACGATGCAAAGGACGGTACGAGTTTGTAATGGGAAAAAGGGCATGTCCGGTGTGCATTACAGTCATTTTAGATCCATTACTGACAAGGATAGAACGAGTATCATGAGTTTCAAGAACATATTTTAGAATACCTGAGTTTGCGTGGACGTGGTCGGTTGCCCCGGTGTCTTTGTACCAATCTGTGAATCCCGAGTCGTTTAGAGACATCGAGTTGAACAACTCTGGGAGAGACGTAGCTTGATCTGGTGGGGCCCAAGTCTACCGAGGAGTGGCGGCAGCAGTCGATTGGCTGCTGTCTGTAGCAGCAGAAAAGTGGACCGTTGGGCTGTATGGTGGTGGCGCTGGCCATGGTTGAGCGGCCGGTTGTGGCGACGGGGTAGTGGGCGACGAACGAGCAGCCCAGCAGTTGGTTGCTGCCAGTAGGCGTGTGGCAGCTGTTGTTGGCGGGGTTGGTTCGACTGACTTGGCGGCGGTGGCGGGATATACACCCAACCATAGCGTGACTGATTCGGCGGCTGTCGGCGGCGACCTTGCTGCTAATGGCGGTCATTCCGGAGGCCATTCCCACAATTTCCTCCGTTATTGTTCATGTGGAGGACGATGGACGATGAGGAATGGTCGGTGTGAGGCATAACCGGTGTTGGGCATATTTGAGCCATTCTTTGTTCTTCTGAAAGAAGAATGGAACGAGCTTCAAAAAAGGTTGGAAGAAGAGAACGGTACCTTATGATATTGGCCATCGAATCGAACTTCGAGGAAAGTCCGTTGATTGTGTAGATCACAAGGTGTTGTCCGGATCGAGATTCGCAAGAAGGTCAGCAAGTCCCTTGATTTTGGTGTAATAGGCGGTGACGGAGAGATCGCCCATCACAATTTTGCGTAGCTCGCTATCGATTTGCATGGATTTGGCGTCTTTGATGTCACGGAAGAGAGTCTCGAGATTGTTCCATACATGAAGCGCGGTCGAGTCTTTCTTTAACACCATTTGGAGAAGGGATTGCGAGATATATCCGTAAATCCAAAGTTTTACGATTGAATCCACCTTTTTCCATTCTGCGTCTGTGGGTTTAGGAGTAGAGTCGTAGATGTGATTGATGACGTCAAAGGCAATACAATGGGTGGAGAAAAGTTCTCTCCACGCATCATAATTGAGACGTTTGAGTTCAAGAATAAGAGGAATGTAGGTTTTGATGTTCGTTATACTGAAAACCTTGTTTGGGGGAGTTTGATTGTCGGACATGTTTGAAGGAAGGCAAGAACGGTTGAGGAGGAGAAGGCGGCAATGAAAGGCGTGGCCGGCCCTAGATCACCGAAAGAGAGAAAGGGAGGAGGTTGAGAGGAATTAGGAAGGGATCCTAATTTTGCTCTGATACCATATTAGAGATTAGGGAAAATGATTTCCTCTCTTGATTAAACAATATACAATCATTTAAATATACAACAGATGGGCGACGGGCCAAACATTATACGGGCTAATAAACAAAGCCTAATAACAATTCATTATAAAGATACAATGTGATCTGCATTTTTGAAGACACTCAATCAAGATTCTCTAATCTCTCCATCAAGAAGAAATCCAAAATTTGTATTCCGGTGGAAGTGAATGACGATGAGAATTAGAATCAGAATGTTGATTGTGTAGAGATTGTTGCACCTAAGTCTGATGCAAGTGATCAGAAATGTTTAGAGATTATTCAAAAGATCATTGAAGATGACATGGTGGAGAAACTGAAAGTGGAACAATGTAAGTTCTATCTAAGGAAACATGGGTTGAGATTAACAAGCAAAAAAAGATATCCTCATTCATCGCATTAAGGAACACATTAGTATTATGAATGGTGAAGGAGAACATAAACACCCTGCTTGGAGTTTTGTTATGAATTGTAAAGGGGATTCATGCACAGGAGATGTTGTTATGTTCGAACAAAATGTGTATGAAATGTTTAGCATTGCATCAAGGAGTGCTACTGGTCCTCCTTGTGGCACGAGTGTGATAGTTGGTTGGATAGTGAAAGAAAGCTATGGTGCTGTTAAACAGCAACATACATTTACGATTGAGGTTTTATGAAGCAAAGGGGTGAAACCACTCCTTCCCCTTCATCCCTACTCACCAAAGGCAGAAACCTTTACAGATTAAAGACAATGAGACAGAGATGGGAAAACGAAAGTGAAAGACATAAAATTTTGTCGGAGAAACATTTTAGAGGCAACGCTGCCCGGAGTTATAGGGCAGCATGCCTTCAGGAGAAGGAAATAAAGAAGGCACTTAGGGAAAGGACATCAAAAGGGAACATTTAGAATGAAAATCAAGTGAAGAAAAGAATAACATCTCCTACCCGCCCTATGATTAAAGCCAAGAACCCCACAAAGCCGGACTTGCAAAACGCTTCAATTCAACATGAAACTAGAAATTGGCCTGCCCCATCAAATACACATCCACACGGAGGTGTACCATATACAGAGGTTTTAAGTCACCAACCATTGATGAGCATGATTCATTATCCTCACGAAGGTTCATATAAAGAAAACATCAACTCTAACATGTTAAGGAGTGCGGTTGGATGGGAGCTAAATGCTTCTTCTAGAAATACCTTTCAGGCTGAACAAAAATGTCGATTATATCCTTCAAGACCATTTCAGAATTTACCACAAACCCATACTTCCCAACAAGGCCATTTACCAAGGGAGGTGCAGAATTTACCACAAAGCCATAGTTTCCAACAAGGCCAGTTACCAAGGGAGGTGCAGAATTTACCACAAAGCCATAGTTCCCGTCAAGGCTATTTACCAAGGGAGGTGCAAAATTTACCATAAAGCCATACTTCCCAACAAGGTCGTTTACCAAGGGATCATCACCATCAAGGACAGCCGCAGCAGCTGTGTAGATACTATCCACAAGGAAGGTGCCACTATGGTACTAACTGCAAATATCAGCATTGAGTGTGCATCTATCCTATGTTTCTTTTTGTCCTTTTTCGAGGCAATTATGTTTTAATGGATCTTCAAATGATCCTGCAAGAAAACGCAGTATCCGGACGTGGATCGTCGAGATGCCGGACATTTAAACCTCTGTGGCCACAAGGGGATTTTTATTCCTTCTTGGATTTGAACCAGTGACCTCCAGACACTTTTGGCCTTGGAGTCAAGCTCAAACCAATCAGGCACCACCCGTGTGGTTAATCATTTGGCTTTTTTGTAGCCATACCTTCATGAATCTTGACATAAGCACGCTTTAATAGACTAGCATATATTCGGGGATGGTTTAGGGTGTCGAGCACTAGGAGTAACTCTATGAGTTCGCAACATAGCACCGACTCGTCTGGTCAATTGAGCCACAATGGGAAGTCTATGAGACTTGTCTTGATGGAGTCTGAGCTTGCTTCAATCAAATCTGAGCTCTTTTTTATGAAGGATGAAGTGGTTGAGTTGTGTCAAATGGTGAGGCCAATTGTACTCGCCCAACCACTTCCGAGTGTTACATCTTCACGAAATGTTCAAGACCATATTTCTTATATTCGAGATCGTTAAACATTTTATTATGGTTTTGAATGTTTTTTCCATTTTATTATTTAATATAAGATGAGTTATGATATTCCTGGTTTATAATGTCACCATTTTTGCCAAAATGGGTACACTTTTGAGATTTTCTTCAACTTAATTTCATGATATCCAAAGAAACTTGGGATGAAATAAAACTTAAGAAACATGAGTTCTCACGTGTTCTCAGATTTTATTCACGTTCTTCACTCACTGTTTTCTCTGGTTTCACGATTTTTCCTACAATTTCTTGTATCGGTCTCTTTGTTTCCATCAACTAAGGTAAAATTAAAAGTTTCTTAAACTGGAAAAGCAACTTAGAAAAAGCATTTAATTGAGCAAAGGAGAAGCAAAATTGCAAAAGCATTATAGTAGACAACATAAAATTGAGGATAAAAAATTCAACAGAAGAATAACCGAAATACCATATTGGAGGCATGAAACAAGGCAACGATAATGATGGAGAATAGCAAGACATGAATGATCAAAAGAGACATGAGTAGTAGATGCGAGAAGTAAAGGGTAATAGTGTAAATGGCGTCCGCTAAACAATTAGGGCAAGCCCAAGAAGATGAACGATTCAGGGATTTTAAGAACTGTTAAGATGCTTTATATTTTTTTGCCAAACACTCCTAGCGTTTCACCGATTCAGATTCAGACTTGCCTTTTTAGTGGAACCATTAAATGATAAACAAACACACCCTTAGGGGGTGTTTGGTTCGCAAACTCTGAAGGAATCTGATTAAATTGAAATGTTGAATTTCATTGACCAAATTTCATTCTCCCGTTTGGTTCATTCTTTTTCATAAAGGGAATCTTTCAAATCCTACAAATTCCATAAATAAAGAAATTTAATGTTCTTCAACAACTACATGGTATTTTGATGGAATGAAATTTTCTATTTTTGTGACTACCAAATATGTCATTAACCTAATATACCCTAATCTCATAAAACCCAATATGACCGTCGTCAATCACCTTCGACAACCATCGATTTGAATCACCGTCAATCATTGTCATCTGAACCATTCCGACCATTGTCATTTGAACCACCGCCGACCACCACCGACCATAAGCGAATACCGCCTGTCACCGCTGATCGCCACCAATCTGAAAAACCACTATCGATCATCACCAATCTGAAACATTGGCGGCCATCGCAGATCTAAACCACTAACCGCCGATCACCACCAATCTAAACAACCACCAACCTGAACCATGGCGACCACCGCCAATATGAACCACCTCCAACCACTGCCATCTGAACCACCCGCAGACCACCATCAACTTGAACCACCATGGACCACGACCGATCTAAACCACCTTCGACCACCACCGATCTGAACATCGTCGACCACCGCCATCCGAACCACTACACATCTCCACCATCTAAACCACCGCCAACCACCACCGATCTAAACCACCGCCATTTGAACCATCGTAGACCACTGCCATCTGAACCATCATGGACAACCGTCATCTAAACCACCATCAACCACCACCGATCTAAACCATGACCGACCACCGCTGCCGTCGACCAATCCCATCAGAACCACCACTAACCATCGCCATCTAAACCACCTTCGACCACCGCCGACCACCGTCATCTGACCCCCGTTGACCACCGCCATCTGAACCACCCCCGACCACCGTCGATCTGACCACCACCTACCACCATCGGTCTGAACCACGGTCGACCACGCAGATCCGAGCCACTATAGACCACCACCGATCTGAACCACTGTAGACCACCACCGAACTAGCTATTTTACATGATACAGAATTAGCTATCATGAGACAAATTAATATTGATTTAGTAATGTCGTTTGGTTTATAGTTATATTTGTGTTGTGTATTTTATATTGTTTACACATTAAATAATTATTTTATTAAAGTATTTCTAGTTTTTAAAAAATTAAAATTTTCAAAAAAAGGCATTTTGGTCATTTACCGATATTTCATTCTAATTTCAAAACTACATTATGTGAACCAAACAGACAGATTCCAATTCTTCAACAGATTCCATTCCAATATATGTCAACCAAACAGGTGGTCAAACCTGACAACATTTCATTTCGATTCCTTTAAGTCAAATTCATTTAAAAATTTCATTTCATCCAAAAACATTTTGCGAACCAAACACCACCTTAGAGTAATTATGTTTTTTGTCCCTATGGTTAGTTGAAATTTTCTATTTCCGTTTCTGTGGTTTAAAAATTATGATTTTCATTCTTATGGTTTGTAATTCATTATTATTTTCGTTTTTACAATTTATTCTTATTTCAGTTCATGTGGTTAGCAATTTTTTGTTGTTTTAGTTCTTTATATTAAAGGTATAAATTAGATCAGACGCGAAAATAACAATAAATTACAAATCATAAAGACATACTATCGCAATTTATAACCATAGGAATGGTTCAAATGGAAATTGAAATTAGGGACAAAAATCGTAATTTACTCTTTTTTAGAGTGAATTACATTTTTGGTCCTTCGTGAATAGTTGCTTCTTGGTTTTCCTCCCTTCAAAATATAAAATACATTTTTGGTCAAAAAATTGTGTTTTCAAGCTGAAACTTGTCCTTTCAGCTTAATACCATTAGTTGGGGTCCGTTAAATTGGTCATGTGCTCCTCACGTGAAGGGCAATTTGTTCATTTTATGCTTCTTCCTCCCATCTTCTTCATCCTCAACTAAGAACATAACCATTGTCATTCACCACCATTGCACACCATTGTCGTTATCACCATGACACATCACCACTATTCACCACAACTGCCATCCACAACCATCGTCATCTACCACCACCGCCTTCCACCATCGTCATCCACATTTCCGACCACCATCGAACACAAATGCAAAGTAAAAAAACAAGATCAATACCACAAAAAAAAACCACCAACAACAAGAACATTAATCTTATAAAGATTTTACATGAATGAAAAACAAAGTACAAAACCCATTTGAGGAACATAACCAAGAATCCGGAGCCAACTCCCATTCATACAAATCAAATTCATGAGAAAAAAACGTAAATTTACATCTAAAGTCCAAATTAAAACAAGAAACCCTCATAAATCAAAGCCCCTAGATTTCTCAAGGCATCTGAACTGGACTGAATCATTTCAAAATCAAACCCTAAATCTAAATAGTTCAATCTTCGTCTGTTGTTCATTCGTTTAAGTGTTCTTCAAGTGAATGTTCGAAATTTAAACCATTGAGTTCGTAGGGAAGCTCAACATAGGGAGAGCCGTGGTGTGACTGTAGATCAACGGAACACCTACCATTCTCGACATGAAATCTGGTGCGCTTGTATAGATCAATGGAACTCCTACCCTCTCGACATGAAATATGGTGTGAATGTAGATCAATGGAGAACGGGAGAGGCATGGTGTACGATGGTGGTGAGAAAACTAGTGCGACTGAAGGAATGGGCTAGCGTTCAACATGTGCAGATCTTGAAGAAGGGGAAAGGCCTACTAGGGAATGTGTTAGGGTTTCAACATGTACAGAATTGAAGATCATGAAGAACGAGGGAGGGGCTGCTAAGTGATGGGTTAGGGTTTCAACAAGGTGGAGAGGCAACTAAATTTTAAAGTGCTATTAAGTTAAGGTTTTGATTTTGTTATTGATTTAAAGGATTTGATTTGGGGTTCTGATTTTAAAGATTTGATTTTGTTATTACTTCTGTGTTTAATTGGGTGGTGTTCTTGATGAGGGTGGTCGTGCATGGTGTTCTTGATGAGGAAGGAAGTGGGAGAAGAAGATGGGTAAAAAGACCAAAATGCCCCTCACGTGAGGGACACATGTCATGCCTAACGGCAACAATTTTCAGGACGTCTATGGAAGGGAAAAATTTGGGCTAAAAAACACGGTGTTTGGACCAGAAATGTACTTTATGTTTCGGAGGGACGAAAACTAAAAAGCAGCTATTGATGAGGTACCAAAAATGTAATTCACTCTTTTCCAATTCGGGGGCACGGGAGGAAGTATATATACCGAGACGATGTGCAAGAGTCACAACCGCATGTCTGCCCATCAGAGTTTTCAATCAGTCCAACGGCAAAAACGGTAGTCAGAATCAAGAAGTACATTAGCGATTTCTCCCTGAGACAGAAGTACTTAGCCATGGCGGCATCTTCTGCCACTATATCACCCTCGTCATCACCACAGTCTTTATCCATTTTCAGACCACAGCAACTGCAATCTCCTTCGCTCTCTTCCATTACCTTTGTCCGCCCGTTTCAACTTCGAACTCCTGGTTTTCGTCTCCAAGCATCCCGCCGTTCTCCCAACTTTTCTCAGGTAAATTCTAGATGACAGATCATCCATCTGCGTTTATATGTATTGTTTTACTTGGTCTTATGCAAAACTCTTGAATTTTATGATTGATGGATCAGGAAGGTGAGAATCCGGTGGTGGATCCTCGGAATTGGAGCCGGAATCGTAATGATATGACTTTTTCCGGAGATTACGATGAAGACGACGACGAAGAGGATGAGGAGGAGGAGGAAGACGACAGGAGCTTGGATCTTCTAATTAGGTTTGTTGAAAACGTGTTTAAGAAGATATCTAGACGAGCTCGCAAGGCCGTCCGATCCGTTCTGCCTACCAACATCCCCACCAAATTGGTATTACTATGCATTTGTCAATTTATTATTTCGATCCATTTTCTAGGTTTTTGGTGGTTTTTGCAATTGAATTCTGAGTGTTGGAAATGGACTTGGGATTAGAGCTCAGTCAATTCACATTTCAATCTGATTATTCCCACTCCTAGTCACCGAATTGAGATCCAAAACATACTCAAACCTATAAATATGTTTCCTAAAATGAAGCATCTCCAAGAACTATTATTTACAAACGAACTTTAGACAATATAACTAATAGTTACCCTGTAGATGTCTTATTAGTTGCCTGTACGAACATACAGAAGTTAATGTGAGGTGTGTTATCATGCTAGTGACATTGATTGATTACCCATTTGCTATATGTTGATTCAGACATAAATAGGGGGTGCATATAGCAACCCGATTGATATAATTTGAACTTCAAGTCATGGTATTGTGTGTGTGAAATAGTTATGGCATACGGAAGTGTTCTGCTATTAATTTGTGGCTATTAGTTCAATAAGTCTGAGAGTGTAAAGTTAGTCAGCACGAAGAATTTCGAGTATTTGTGAAAGTAAGTTTGTTTTGTTCTCTCTCTCTTTTGGTTGTTACCTTTTGATCCTTTTGATATATGCTATGTGATTTCATGTATTGAATGTCAATTTTACTTTGTTAAGCACTCATTTTAAATCATTTAAGTTGCATATTTACTGAAAATTAGGTATATAAACTTTCATGTGGTAGCTTGGGATCTTGCTTTCTTACTTTCTGATTGTTAGCTCTTGGTTTGTCTTGCTAACTTATTATATGCTCAATGTGTTATATAGGTGGGATTCTCTGTTAATGGAGTTATAATTCTGGCATTTTTTTGGATTCTAAAGGCGTTCCTTGAGGTAATATTTTCGAATTATCTAGATGCATCCTCATGAAAGTTATTCATGGCAATAAAATTTGTCTAGTATTATGTTGCTCGAAAATGTAGTCCTTTTTCAGTCTATAAGGTAAATATTAGATCATTTTTGTTTATTTTATCTGACATAAATCGGATATCCATTTTCTAGAACTCTTTGCTTGACTGGTCTGTTAGAGAGCATGTTTGACCTGTTTTTGTTAGACAAGTTACTTGTTAATACTTCTCCTATTGTCCTTATCTTTTATTTTTGGAGGTAAGATGTTGAAACTACCTGAAAGGTATGTCAAATATGAATTGGGAAATCTATTTGGCTGAAATTGTTGATAAGAATCAAGCTTGGTTTTTCTGTGTTAAATGCCCTGTTCATGTTGAATGGAAACGTTGAGGTGTTGCTGATCTGCAAGAAAGAGTGTGATAGTTGAGGGGAATATGAAGCAAAGTTCTTGTTAGCCATAATGCATGATGTGAGGCCCTGACTAATAAAGGCTACGTAGATTATTTGCTTTTCTCTATGAAGATTCAGGAAATCCTTAAGATGTTTTTACATTGGGTTATTTTAAAGGAACCATCCTTTTGCTAAATAATCCCTCCCTCCCCCACCAATTTCACATCACAAACGTCAACTTTAAACTATTTCATTTTGCATTTGTGATGCACGATTTGACCACGAACTGACTCAAAGGGGGTTCATTTAGCAACACTTTCGCATTTCAGTTGGTGAGCCTTGGATTCTTATTCAGCATGCCTGCATTATTACCTAGTACATGTCACATTTGCCTCATGCTTTTACTCACTCAACTGTCGAGTTGATATGTCATGAGTCATTGGAGATTGTGATCAACGAGCTAGTAAAAATAATGCTCAATGTTTTGGACTTTTACATCTTGGAGTTCCTTTGGCTGCTTGGAACTTAAACATCTCCATTATGATAGCAATTTCAAGACATAATCATGATATGCATGTAACTGAAATCAGACTTTTTCCTGTATTATTGGAATTATTTGTTTGTTTACTTTTTTGGTACAGTTTGACATCTGATTTGTTCAAGAATAGTAACAGGCTTTGTTTGAATGATATGCGACCTGTCGACTGTCGTGAAGGTTGGAATATAATTTGAAGTCCCTTCCCCATTTCCTAGTCCTAGAGAGAATTTATAACAGGCACATTTTGATTCATAACTTACAACTCTGAAACATCATATGACTACCCAAAAATATGCAGTCTCTCTTTAAAACACATGTTTCTTTTTAAGCTGAAATTTCTAATCAGATTTTAGCTAATAATTGAGGAACCTTTGCTCAGGTTTGTACATCCTTATCAATCGTATTATTGTAATGCCACTTCTATATATCTTCTATATATTTGACCACGGTCATCAAGTTTATCTAATACATTGACTTGGTTCATAACTCTAATTCCAGTTTTCAGCAAATTGTAGCAGACGGTTTTGTGTAGTAATACGTTGATTGTCATGTACTATTTTCTGATGTCCTTAAGAATTGCAAAATTGTACATGTCTCTACCTCTATTACCACTATATAGCAAGAGTCAGGTTCAAACGAGAAAAGTGATCAAATAAGGAAACGCAAGAATGGTTAAATCACATGTAAGTTTACAACCCACGTGTAAAATCACATGTGATTACATGCGACCTTGGCCACAACCTAGGTCGTCGAAAATTGCCCGTGCACCCATGTGTTGTCCATGTTCTGTAATCACATGTGCTTTCATTTTGTCGGTGCAAAATCACATGTGATTTGGCCGTTCCTATGTTCTTTAATTTTGACCCATTCTCGTTTAATAGCAATGCTATAGAAATGCTATAGCAATGCTATAGATAATGATAATTACTAAAAAAGAAGTCTCTTTAACAGTAATATGAAATTAAAGAAACCCATTATTTTTGTTAATTCCAGTAGGCATAGAAGTTTTACATGCCATCATATTTAAGAACTGAAAAAAATTAGAAGTTCTGTTATGGTTTAACTCTAATATCTCTTGATGTGACCTTTTTATTGTCACTGCTGCAAGAAAAACATGAAATGAGACATACCCATCAATTCATTGGTCATAAATCTAAAGTCAGCGGTACTAGAAAGTTCGATGAACACATATCAAGTTGATACCTGTAGTAATCTTATTAGGTCATCTCGTTCTACCTGCTCATGAACAATTCTTAGAAGGGCCTTTATTATGAACAATTCTTAAAAGGGCCTTTATTAATCACATTATTTGGTTAGCACATTTTAAGAATATCATGCTCATTGTTTTCATTTTGTCCCATTTTCGGCAGGTGGTTTGTACTCTTGGCAGTGTAGTTTTTGTAAGCATCTTACTTGTTCGCGGGGTATGGACTGGAATATCGTATTTTCAAGAAGGTCGTTACCGTAGGACAGATGATTTTGACGATGAGAATCAGGCATGGACAGGAACTCGGCCTGCAGCTTGAATACAATAATTATACAGCAATTTCCCAAATCCATGATTATGTGATTAACCCAAAGTTGATCCCCAAATAGCATAATTTAACATCTTCCTGGTTCTTGATGGTGATGGTATATATATATATATATACACATACAATCAGAAAGACCATCTTCTCTTGGGAAGAAAATGAAAATACGAATTCACCCCTGTTCAGTTTAGATTTTGCTTGATTGACCTCATATGATTGCAAAAACGAGTGTCTATTTCCGTAAACGTACTTGCTCAAGGCCTTCACTTTTCTGGAAACGAGGTCTTGATGCAGTCTCCAGCTTGAGCTTAATGTGCATGTAGATATGAGACATAGCAGAATTTGCAGCATTTCTGTTGGATGGAGTTCTTTCATTCACCGACAATGAGGTGATTCTTTTTCGACCTTCTTCATAACTCAGGAGCTTGTTAGCATGATGTGGCAATATGCTGAGAGCTATCTTGAGATTAACTGGAAAACTCTTGCTCATTCATTAGTGAATAATCTTTCAGAGGTAGATGTTCAGATACATGGCATGATATCTCTTGAAATTATACATTTATTTTTATATCTTTTGAGCTTTCCAAAATGCCTACTTACCTTTGGGCAAGAATCTAGTGTTATCCCTTTTTTCTATTCCCTTCATATTCTTTCAATAAGACGTTGACATGTCATTTTTTTCTCTCTCACTACCTTTTAATTTTATACATGTATGGATGCTCCCCTTAGGGTGCGTTTGGTACGTGAAACAGGGTGGGACAAGACAGGACAGGACAGACTTGTCCCATGTTTGGTGTGTTTCTAAGTGGAACACGTGTGGGACAAGCCTGTTCACCCTCACCCCCTGGAACTAAGTGGAACAAGACATATTTGACAAATATACCCCAAACCTAATACCCATCTCCATCGATTTCTTTCACAGGAGACCTTCATCTCCATCGATCTCCATCTCGACCGATTTCTTCACAGTCCACCTCCATCTCATGGATTTCTTCACAGGAGACCTTCATNTTCACAGGAGACCTTCATCTCCATCGATCTCCATCTCGACCGATTTCTTCACAGTCCACCTCCATCTCATGGATTTCTTCACAGGAGACCTTCATCTCCATCGATCTCTTCACAGGAGACCTTCATCTCGATCGATCTCCATCTCCATCGATTTCTTCACAGTCCACCTCCATCTCCATCGATCTCCATCTCCATCAATCTCCATCTCCATCGATTTCTTCACAGGAGACCTCCATCTCCATCGATTTCTTCACAGTCCACCTCCATCTCCATCGATCTCCATCTCCATCAATCTCCATCTCCATCGATTTCTTCAAAGGAGACCTCCATCTCCATCGATTTCTTCACAGCATCCAAGAACAAAGGTACGGTGAATTTCTCTCGATTTTCTATGTGTTCTATTTGGATTTCAYGAATTGGGTTTTTGTTCGTTTGATGAATCACGAACTGGGGTTTGTTCTATTTGATGAAATTCGAAATGATTTTTTTATTGATTTTGTGTTCTTAGTTGAATCATGAACCGGGTATTGTAATTTTTGATCAATAATGAACCGGGTATTCTTCACAGCCGGCCTCCGCCTCCATCTCCACCGTCTCCTCCATCTTCGTCGTCTTCTTCGTAGCTGGTAATCGATTTTGCCTACTGTTTCGATTGATGAATCGATTTTGCCTACCGTTTCGATCGATAAATCGATTTTGCCTACTGTTTCGATCGATAAATCGATTTTGCCTACTGTTTTGCCTACTATTTCGATTGATAAATCAATTTTGCCTACTGTTTCTCAACACACTCGATTTTGCCTATTGTTTCGTCTGATATGTAGTTATGTACTTGAAATGTCACTGGGGGTAAATTGGTCATTTTAACCAGTTCGGTCATGTTTTGTCTTGTCCTGTCTTGTCTTACCAAACGCTGAACACCTGTCATGTCCTGTCTTGTCATGTCCTGTCTGCGTACCAAACGCACCCTTACAGTTACAAAACCACCTCCTACATTACGCTTTTTAGTTACAGTTACAATTACATCATCTTTACATATGTCGGAATTTGATTACAGGAACCGAAAGGAGTAACATGTCATTTTCCCTCGTTTTGGAACTTATTCTTATACTTCTTTTTTTGATGGTGGTCATAGATGGTATGGCGCGAATTGAGAACAAAATGGAAACTATAAGAATGATTTTTAGATTTATCAAAGTTCACTTCTCATTTTCAAAATTTATCTATACCTCAAAGGACCAAAATTGATGTTTACTCTAATTAAAGTACTGTATTACATGTAAGGATATTCAATGATGTTCAAAATAGAGTTAAAAAGTAGGGGAAAATGTGCATCAATATGGGTCCTAGATTTAAAAAATTACCATTATATAAATAATTCCTTTAATTCAAAATTAATTATATTTAGAGTTCTAAAAAGAGTTGTTATTTGCACCTTCACTTATTAAAAAAAGTCAAAAAATGATTTACTAATAATATTAAATGATGGGAAAAGTACAATAAAAACCAATGAACTTTCTTGTTTGGAATGATTAAGTCCTTGAACTTTTTTTTGGAACAAATAAGTCCTTGAACTTTCCAAAACATGTTAAATAAGTCATTGGACAATTTTTTGGCACAAATAAGTCCTTGAACATTCCAAAATAT